TATGTTACCCTAGGTATCGAACATGGCGTCGGTCAGTGCTTCCGGTTGCCATCTTGTTTGCGAACTCGGCGGCAGCTCCGCCCTCCAAAAGTGAAACAAATCGAATTACGAAATAATAATAATAATAATTCGTAATTATTTCTTATTACTAAAACACACACATACACATATATATATATATATTTTTTTTACTTACGTTTGCATGCTTCTCTCTTTCTCTCTCTCTGTTTTTTTCCTACTTTTTGCGTGATGTCTTGTTTTTCCTTTTTTTCCCTGTTTGTTCCTCTGTGTTTTCTCTTTCTTCTTACTTTTATTAACGGGAGCGGCGGGCACGGTCTCGGGCTCTTCCCATAATGGTAATCTTCCGGATCCGGGATATATGTTACTCTTAAATGTTGTGCAAAAATGTAGAAACGTTTGCTTGGTTGTTTCGAGGACCGATTGTGGTATTTTTTATACACGAAACTGTACGTGTATGAATCCGATAGGTCTTCCGTGTAACGTTTCGGTAGGTTTTTCTCCTTTTTCGAGTTTCCCCGCAATCTCTCTATGTTTTGGGTGTGAACCCCTGTTTTTGGGTTCGCAAAACTCTTTGAATGATTAATCGTCTCGCGGACGATTTCTATGCCTTCCAGGTCGTCTATGTGGTTGTACAGCTTCCATTCGTCCGTCAAAACAGCATTTTTGACATCTCGTTGCACAGGATTTCCTATCGTCGCGATAAACGACTTTGTGCAAGGTTTCGACATTTCGACCACACTTGTCGGCAATGTGCCGTAATCCTAGTTTCACCGCAAATTTTCGAACCCTTTGTTGATTCCGGGATCCAGACCTAATTCGGAATAGTCACTTTCGAGAAGACAGAAAAAGTCCCGGGAGGTAGTACGTCCCTGCCAAAACTCTCTCCGGAGGTAACGTCCAAATCACTCATTCAGAAGAAAAACAACGAGGGAAAAAAAACAAAAAGAAAAAAGCCTTCGATTTAAACGTAATAAAAACAAATTTTTGTAACAAACCGACCACCTTGTTCTTTGTCTTTGTTGTCACACAAATCGAACTTTCGCACGCACACACGCCCATTGTCCGTTTAGCGGAATTAATTTGCATATCCCGCTGCGTTAAAATTCAGCGCCCTCTATTGCAAGCGTCACTCGTTACCCCGATACAAGATTATCGGAAACGACGCCATCTCGATACCTAGGGTAACATTAACCAATATTTTTATTTGATAAATAGGGATCTAGATTATGATTTATGACTACATTATTTCCATTAGTTCTCTTCATTTGCCTTAGTTTTTTACATAATAAAAATATTTTTTTATATTTTATTTTAATTGCTGACTTGATAATCAATCTTTCTATTTTCCGCATGTCACTTAGTCGAATGCTTGAATGTATGGATGTTGGCAAACAGAGGGTTACAGGTGTGTGTTCTTCTCTCAAAAAACACTTGAAGTAATTTACATCTATTGTCAATCTTTGTATCTGTTGCTGCAAATCTTCTCTTTCCATTCTTTGATTCATAAAATACTATAATTGTTGTTCAATAAAGATTAAAACAATTGGATTGGTGATATTTCTGAAATTTTTTGTAAATTTCTAAAATTTACAAAAAATTTTATTGAACAACAATTATAAAAATTTTTAATGCCTTGTGAAGAGATTTGGTTATTGGATTGACAAAAATCCAAATTCTTCAAGAGTTATTTCTGAGAATTTTATTTTTAATTTACCATCTATTGACAAGGTCTTCTCGAATGGAAAATTCACAACTGGCTGTACTAACTGCACTGAATTGATTTTGTATTTGATCATAATTTTCTACATTTAAGGTTTTTACAATTAAGGAAAGATACAATTTTTTTGTATCTTTCCTTCTTTGTGTTAAATGTTCTGTTATAATGGAAATAATTCCCTTGACATTTTTATTATGAAGTGAAGGAAACATGTCTATTGTATTTTTTTCTGATATGAGATTTTTGCAGAGATACTTTTCTGAAATGCTGACATTTGTTTTAATGCTATCCAAGTATTTAAGTACACCAAATATCATTTTTAAGACATTTTATAAAAGCATTTGTGCCTTCATTTTGAAAAAAAGACCAACAATTCATTCTGAAGTTTTAAAAGTGGGCAAATTGCTTTACCTCGATCTTACTTTATTATCTTACTTTATTATCTTACTTTAGTGTGCAAAAGCAAAGATTTGTACTGAGCTTCCATAGATGTTCAGATATTTTAAAAAGAAGTGTTTTTAATGATCTTGACTTGATGGAATTTAGCATATTTACAACTTGGTCTAGGTTTTAATGTAGCCGGTGATGTTTTTGAAACTAGGAAAATATTTGCATTGATTAAATATAATATTTGAGTTTCTTGTCTATGCAAGGATAGTTTACTCCAAAAGTTGCATCTTATTTGCATTGAGAACTGCAAATTTATGCTAAAGTTTGTTTAATCACAGTTATAGACAGTATGCCTCTTTCATAATTTTGTAGAACACTTGTAACAAGTTTGTGGAACTCTAATGTTCTGAGGAACACCAGTTAAAAATCACTGGCTTATTTATGTCTTGCCACCATAGTTGCATGCCCATTGCTATCTGATATTTAATTTCAACGGTGAAACCTTCATTTCTGTTAATTTTAGTGCCAAGAAATATGAAGTCTTGAACAGTTTTGAGCACTGTATTGCTGATCTTAATGTGAATCTTTCCGTGAGGGCTGTAGTCATAATCTTAGTTTTTGTGATGTTGAGTGCAGTCCTGCTTTTTCACGTTCCTCTTTCATCCTGATAATCAGATACTTCAGGTCTCTCTTGTTCTCAGCCAGTAGTGTTGTACCATCTGCATATCTGAAATTGTTGATGGTATGAATACCCACTTTCACTCCAATGCCAGTTGAATCCAAATCAAGTTTCCACATAATCATCTTGACACATAAGTTAAACAGGCAAGGCAACAGAGTACAACCTTGCCTTACTCATTTTCCAGTCCATGTCTCCATACAAGGTACATACTGTTGCTTTTTGGTTGTTATATAATGATTTAATAAGAGAAATTAAATAATCTGGAACACCAAAATTATGTAGAGCAGTCCACAATTTGTTATGGTCCACATAGTCAAAGCATGTGTGTTGTTAAATATATCACTGCTGCAAGTGTTCACAGATAGCGAGTAGGATACCTTACAAGTTTAAAAAATCATACACGACTACTTTGATCTGTTTCAAGTCATATTGAACCAAAAAATGGCGGGCTTGATAAAAGACGCCACGTCATGGCCATTTATTTATTATAAAAAATAATACAATGGTTATATGACACGAAGCGTTGCTACTCAATACAAATACAAATACAAAAGTACAAATACAAAAGTACAAATACAAAAGTACAAAAATACTCAATACAAATACAAATACAAATACAAAAATACACAAATCATTGTTACACACATAGGTAATGACAGGAGAGAAATTTAACATGTGTAAAACTCACAAAAAAATAAGATTACCTGAAATGATGTTTAAAAGCAACTGCTGATGTAACAAAGTGTGAGATATGCAGTGGGTCATGGGTTAATCTGGTACTGACCACTTAATCTGCACAGGCTGGTAAAGCCCGATCTCGGAGTCGTTCGGATGGCTAGGAGGGCAAATCGAGTGGGGAGTGCGTCGGTAAGTCGACAGGTTTCCTGGGATAGACAGGGGACAGGTTTAACAAATAACAAAATAAATGTTTATTCTATAACTAAAATAATTTACAAGTTACTGATTATTGCCTAGATGCGGAAATACAAATATATCTATAATCGCTCTAACTATTCACTATGCCTCGTGAGAGAGTTTACAAAGGCTCTAGAGTGAGAGAGTTATTTTGGCGGTCAATTATACCTTATGTTGGAGGACGGTATGCGACGGTCATCCTGGACTATGGAAGCTGGCTGTCTGTCACAGGCTTATATCTTCTACTGGCTTCTCCTTGGACAGGATCGGGACGGGAGACACTGTATTCAGACCTTCCAGATGATCGCTCGGAGGGACGGTCACACTGAGGGGACGATCGCCCGGAACTCCCTGTAACGATTGTTTTTATACGATCGTCGTTGGCACTGAGCCAACAGGTCGTTCACTCGTTATGCTGACTAATTAGCATGTGCACGTAACAAACGGACGATGTGTAAGATTCGACATCCGATCTACTTCCGTTATAACGTGTGATAAAAATTTTTTCATCCTCTAATGTAAAAATATGTTAAACTCAAAAATTTACGCCCTGTAACCCTCGGGCTCACAAAAGTATTTAAAACAAATGGGATAAACAAGAAAAACTACAATCAATCAATCACTGTCAGAACAAATCTCACTGAATTCTTCCATTTTTACTGCAGAGCTGCAGGCTATTCACCTAGCCTTAAAGTATGTAATCAGAAAAGGTCATTGTTGCTGTGTGATTTATACTGACTCAGTGAGTGCACTTTAACCCCTTTACGACCGTTTAAATAAAATAGGGGGCTTCTTGAAAACTTATTCATTATTATTACGTAAAAAAATTCTTCATTTGAATTGAAAAAAGTGGTTTTTTCGATTTTTTAAATTTCGCAAAAATTGGTTCCTAAATGGCAGCTTTTCCTCTGGATAGCCAACTTTACAGGGGCTACCTGCAGCCTGCGATGGTGGCTTTTCCTCGTGCTTCGCTAGCGTGCAGGAAAGCTGCCATTCGTCGGTTACCTTTAAAAATAATACAAAAAGAAAAACATGACAAAACATAAAATGAAAATAAATTTATTGATTCAAAAACATTTATAAAATGATTACAATCATAAAATACAATATTATTTATACTATTGAAATATAATAATCTGATATAAAGTAAAAAATTATCACATAAATAAATACTATAAAAAAGTGAATAAAAATTAAATGTACTTACGTACATTTAAAATTACATTATTAATAAAAATATTTATAAATTATTTACAGTTAAAAATAAGAAAGGGAGCAAAAACTATTTTAACATAACGATTAAATATTAATCTAAAATTTGTACGTGAAATTCTTATGTAAAAAAATAAGAATAACTTTTTTAAAATTTTTCCATTGTATGATATATTCGGAAACAGGGTGCTGCACACAATGGCACATCGCAATCTTTGCAAAAATATCGCGTTTCCTTTCTTATTCTTTTGCCTGCACCGTCATGCTTAGTTTTGCATACGGCACAGCGTCTAGTGGGAGCCTTTTTTTTGTCGGTCTCCGAAAGAAGGTCCGGGAAATGTCTTTCCGTAAGTCTAAGTGGACCTGGAATTCTCGGACCTGAAGTTCTCGGCTGACCATGTTTTGTAACCCTCGTTTCGGTGTGATACTTTTCTATAATTGTTTCAATAATGTTAATTCTAAAGTCTAGATGACTTAGTACGCCACCATTTTTTTCATGTAAAACAAAAGCATTAAAAGTACAAATATCTAATAGATGGAAAAATACTTTTTTGTAAAATTTCTTCCCTCTTTTTCTCGCCACTGGATAATCTCGAAGATGCTGATCTAATACATCAACACCTCCCATTGTGTCGTTATAGTCGACAACAACCTGTGGCTTTACAACTATTTTACCGGCATGAGTTTGTTTTCTTACCATTGATGGATTGTGGACCGTAGAGAGTAAAGTGACGGCTCTTTTGTCTTGCCACTTCAAAGCCATCACTTTACCCCTCTGCATCGCCACTGTTTCTCCCTTTTTCAATTTTTTATTTCTAACCTCAGCTGGGATCTGTTGTCTGGTCGTCCTCACAGTTCCATAGAAATCTGTTTGGACCGTAACCAGATAATCAGCTAAATGTGGGGAAGAATAAAAATTATCTGTTGTTAGACAATAGCCCTTGCCTAACAACGAGTCCGCTAATGATAAGACAATTCTTGATGTAATAGGCATATCTTTATATTTTTGATTGAAAACTGTATCTTTTCCGGTATAAATTATGAAATTATATAAGTAGCCAGATACGGACTCGCATAACATGTAGAATTTCACACCGAAACGAGACCGTTTGAGAGGCATGTATTGTCTCCACGAAAGACGTCCTTTGAACAGCATCAAACTCTCATCCACCACTATATCCCTTTCTGGGACATACAGACGCGAAAATTTTGAACATAAATTTTGAACTATTGGCCAAATTTTATTTAGTTTAGGGTTTGGATGAGTTCGTGGATTATAATTTTCATTATTACTAAAATGCAAATTTTGTTTTATTTCCAAAAAACGATTTCTTGCCATTATTCTTCGAAAAATTGGAGTCGCAAGTGTTTCGTTCGTGGTCCAATACATTCTCTCATCCGGTTTATGAATTATTCCTTGCAGTAAGATAACACTCAAAAACATAAACATTTCCTCCACGGAAGCAGGATTCCACTGGCTCCTGGATGTCTGCGGTTTTGATAGGGCGTATCTATTCGTTTCAGTAGTGATTTCGTTCATTAATTCGTTATCGAAATATAAATTAAAGTAATCTAAAGGTTCAGTTATGTGAATTTTAGAAAACCGACACCCAGGAGTTCCAGTGAATGGAAACCGTGGAGGAGGATTAGGAAATGTACTGGTGTCAGCAGCACACCACGACCTAGCAGCATCTCTTCCCGAGTCGTCCGAGCTGCTAGAGTCGTCGATGGAAGGGATGTAGGACTCTGATCCACTCTCAGAGATCGCCATATAGCTGTCCTCACTATCAGACATTCTAAAAATAAGGAATATATTCTAAAAACTGTCTTATTGTTTTGTTATACGCTAAAAATTACAGAATATTCTCCAGAATAAATAAAATTATCAACTTACTTGCTAGGATAAGGTTTGATGATTCAATCGAACAGTAAAAACTGTCAATGAAGTCTAAAAATAAGAAATATATTCTAACAACTGTCTTATTGTTTTGTTATACGCTAAAATTACAGAATATTCTCCAGAATAAATAGAATTATCAACTTGCTTGCTAGGATAAAACGGAAAACTTGACTCTAACAATAGGAGAAAAGTTTGTCAATGGAAAGTAGAAATAAGAAAAATAAATCATTTCCCAAATCGCATGGTGTGTGAGACGCCCGGTGAAAGTTTTTTTAGAATTATCAACTTGCTTGCTAGGATAAAACGGAAAACTTGACTCTAACAATAGGAGAAAAGTTTGTCAATGGAAAGTAGAAATAAGAAAAATAAATCATTTCCCAAATCGCATGGTGTGTGAGACGCCCGGTGAAAGTTTTTTTAGCAGCATTTTTTCCGAAATTTTTCAAAACATTTCAACATATTCAGGTTTTCTAATTTTTTGGAACTGCGAAAAATGCAAAAAATAACATATTCAGTGCGTGCCGAGTTTACTCGCAAAAAAAGTCGTAAAGTGCCAGTGTTTCACAAACGTCAGGTAGAAAAAATTTGGATAAAAAACACGCTCGTGATAATCAGTATCGTCCATCGAGTCCATCGCGTGCATTTTTTTTACTATAAATTATTATCTTTCAATATTTTGTTTTTATTTCAGGTTTGTTTTTGAGCTGAAATTTTAAACACTTGTACATCTATAAATTCTCATTTTTGTATGTCTGTCTTTTATAAAGAATATGTAAATAAATGGTAAAATCATTCACGTGTGTTTACAAAGGTGCTGTTTTCCTTTTTTGATCTAAAACATATACATGTAACATTTTCATTTTCACTACTTTTCGAAAATTTCAAATGTAAAGAAATAATGAAAAAATTTGATTATTTTGCATTATATTCAACTTTTCCAGCGATCGCAGCTTCGATTCGCTCTTCTGTAGGTCGATTGACTTTTCTTAAGCCAATAAGGGTTTTTTTACCACCCCCGGGCCATAAATATTTCGGATAATACACTCACTCCCCTATTATTTACAGTAAACCCACACGGTTGGTTGAAAACAATCGAAGGGAAACTCCTTCTAAACTTTTATTGGGTATCTTCTGTCTTTGTTGACATTACTGTAACTAATCACAGACTTGTGAAAGGAAAAATTGCCGCGAAAAGTCCCGCCTNACCAATTACAGCTCAACAGGCATGTGAGCAAAGGTTTGTTTTATCCAATAAACAAAAGAAGGGTGTTCCATAGATATAACATGGGAAGGAGGAGTTTAGTAAAAACTGTAATCCAGTCTGTAGTGATCTAAGCTTTGATTTGCTTTCTTGTATGTCTTTTGACTGTATCAACCAATAAATGTTTTGTCACCACCTCCGGGCCATAAATATTTCGCGAAATACTGTTCTCTCCCAGTGTAAAGTAATTAGAGGTGAGAAGGCAGATTATTGGCTGATAAAATTGATAGTCAACTTCTGTTATACTGTAGTTGGTTACTTTCTGTCTATGTTGATATTAGATCAACGAATCAGCCACTTGTGAAAACAGTAGAGGTCAAGTTTCCGCTAAGTGCCATCCCACTAAATAATATGTAAACAATCGTTATAAAATTGCTTGTTTCTGTCATTTTTTAGCTCTAATTAGCTAATTTATCATTCATCGACAGTATTTAGGTGAGTAAACATATTTTTGAAATATGTAAACAATTGCTAATTAGCTAATTTATTGTTCTCAGACAGTATTTAGGTGAGTAAACAATCTTTAGAATTGAAAACAATCCCTATAAAATTGCTTCTTTCTATAGCATTTTTAGCTCTAATTAGTTAATTTGTGAAATCTGGAATTTATTATTCTAAAAATGTAATTATTTTTTCTTCTGCTATATAACGGATTGAAAAAAACGATCTTAGTCGAAAACATTTGAAGCCCTCCTTTCATAACTATCAACATTCTATTGTTCTCCTACAGCCTGCAGCTCGACTTGCACAAAAGTTTATACTTATCCAAATGTCGTCATTTATTTTAGTCCCGGGAACACCTATAACCTTTATCTCCTATAACAACCGATCACGTGACGACATCGGATATCGTCGAGTTGAACTCCGAACCCGCCATAAATTCCGAACCTCCAACATCGAATACTTTTGTGACAGGCTTCTAGAAGGTCAAGAAGGAAGGACCACGTGCAAACGACGAACATTGAAAGACGGGAAAAAGAAACTTTACATAATTATTTATGATCGTTTGTATATGTTTGTAGCTGATTAGTCGCGAACTTTTATAATTGTGCCAATTGGGATTACCCTAAAAACTCATTTATAGGATGTATGTGATATTATTGAACTCGAATCGTCATGGAAACCTACAAAGAGATATGAAAATCCGTGTAAACTCTCTCTCTCTTTAGCTCTTAGGCGTTTTAGCGTCGAGATTAGTGTTTGTAGTTTTTGTCAATCTTGTCTATTTGAAGAAATTCTTGTTTTATTTGTAAATGGTATATTCCTTTACTCGTATACGGTCTAGGCCTTATCGTCGATCCCGATTACTCTCGCTCCACTCGACCGACATAGAGCAGAAGTCCCGACACTAGGGATGACTATCGTAACATAGCATCTTGACAAGTGAGACCGTCCCCTACTTCCCTGGGGGTTCACAAATTTATTCTTAGTATTTAGGTTAGTAAACATTATTTTAGAACTGTGAAGTTATAAGTTATTTGGGAAAGTGAACCCTTCCCCTTGCTGTTACATAATATGAGAAAATATGTAAAGAATTGCATGCGAAATTGCGTAGTATAGTCAATTATTGTAAAAATCGTCGAAATAATATAAAAATAATGTTTCTTATACATTATCGCTAAGAAAACTTGTGTGGACTTCGACCCTCAGATGACTCATCCACTCCCTGCTGGGAGAGTAATTAGAGAAGTAGTGTGAATAATGGCAATATCTTCTTACTTGCTGTAGCTAAAAGGCTGTGGTTTGTTTTGTTTTCGAACAAAGGATGTGTGTGACTAATAAATCTACGATATTTTTAGCGAATTTATATAAATAAATATATTATTTTCTGTTTTGTTCGGAAATTTCAAATTTTATTATAATTTCAAATTCGTGATAAACAAAATACAAAACTACAGTAAACTGTAATATGACTTTGCTAGAAAACAAAAAACAGAGTGAATGTAGCGCGAATTTGAAAGGAGATACCACATTTGAAAAAATACTTGCATTCCTAAAAGTGCTTTTCCTGCAAAATATCGTGTTTTTGATAGAAGAATGCAGAGTTTTTTATAAAAATCCTGTATATTAACATTTTTCATTACCTTATTATCAGAAAAAGATTTTATTTGTTCCACATTGCTCGACCCACACTACCCCCTAGAGTTTCTTACGAAGAGAAAAATAATATATTGTAAACAAAGACATTTTACACCCTGAGGCTCTAGAAAAGTGCAGTTCGTTTAGTACAGAAGACAACAAATTACTTTACATTATAAAATCTGCAAATAAAACCTATTGATTTATTTTTATTCTATGGCTTTTTCGAAAATAAATTTACAATAATTCAAATAACACAAATTTCCAATAATACATGTAAATATTATTGTAAATTTGTGTTTTATAGATAAAATTAGATCAAATGATTTTAGATAAAAATAAAATAAAAAATAGTAACTGCAAGAATATATTCAACAATCTGTACGAAACAATCAATATATAAACATAAGAAAAAATTACTCTAGACAATCCTGTTATTTTATTTTTTCTTCTAAGATTTGACAATTACATGCAGGAGTGTCAAAGAACTTTTATTATAAAAGCTTATTTATATGAATATCTTTACACAAATACAAAAAATTCTTTATATCACAATAATACTTATTCTATAATAGTTTCTAGCCTTATATGTTGACATAAAAAGCTTTACAATAAGCTCCCACTAAAAATCAAAATAATTTATAATATACCATTTTATAAAATAAATTTATAGAAAATTTCAGTATAAATCTTCATTTATTTTATAATGTATTATTTAGAAACTTATTATTTTTTATGTAACACAATACTGGCAAAGAGACACTCGATACAAGCTTCAGTACAAATAAACATCTGGACGACCTTGAAAACAGCTGATTGTAAGCTTTCGCGGGTTGTTCTCAACAACAGCCTGAGGGGAAGTAGGTTTTCTACACACGTCTGAACTAGTTACTGCAAATACTCGATTGTATTACGTTATTTTCTGATAATTTTTTTTTATTTTCTTGTTATTACCTATATTATATGCTAATGTAAACATCATTAACCTAACATTGTTTTTTTGTGTTTTACAGGAAAAACTCCCCACATAAAATTAAAAAAACATTTAATACACCAATTTCTGAATTAAATTTCTAAAAAAATTTAACATATAACTTAATTTCCTTTAATGCATATTATTTAAAAACGAATTCTCTTTCAAATAAAAAAAAATCGCGACGGATCATGTGACACGCACCGCTGTTCGGTGTTGTTAGCGCAATGTCTTTGAGAAAAGCTGTTTATAGCCATTAGCGGGATATTCTCATACAAATCGCAGGGGAAAACCGATTTCTAGACAGATGTGCATCAGTTACCGTAAACATTCAAATACATCGCAAAATTTTCGATCATGTATACACTATCAATAGGTGGGGACCGAAAAAATGGTCCAAAATTTAAACTTTTATTGGGTGTATAATTTTAAAATTTTCTGATGTGTAATAAACAACATTTAATAGAAAGTAAAATAAGCTTTGCCCGAGTTATCTCGTCCATAGGCAGAACAGGAACGAATTTTGAAAATTGGACGAGTTATCTCGTCAACGGGCATACCGCATGACTCACGCTTGACGAGTTATCTCATCAATGGGCGTTAAGGGGTTAAGCTTTTATCTCATGTGAACCTAGTTCTCACTTTATAGTGATTAAAATCAGTAAACTGTTTTGCCATCTTACCATGAGTAATTTTTCTGTAAAATTTTGTTGGGTTGCAGGCCACATGGGTATAAGAGGGAATGAAGAAGCTGACACAGCTGCAAAGTCAGCAAGTCCTTTAGAGCA